TAATTTGATACATTTTTATACATATTTGATACATGTTTGATAGACCTGGGTAGGCGACATATGGCGGTAGACCTCACGCTATAGTAGCACCAGTTATTCTCACCTTTAAAATGTTTTCTAAAAGAAGTCTACACAATTATTAATATGCTGTATTATCTTTTCCTATCAAATGTATCGTTAAACCATCATTAAACTTCAAGACCAAGGTTTAGTTAAACAAAAATAGCAAAATGGAATTAAAGTTCAAAAGATGCATGCAATTTTTTTCCAGCTTATGTGTGATTTATTTTATAGTAAATTTATGTTTTGTTGTATAAATTATCTGTGTGCTGGAATGTTCAACTGTATTTTAATTTTTATTCTGCTGTATGATTTTGTTAAAGTCTAAAGTAAGACCAGTTACTTTTTCTAGTAAATACAACTGTTAATATTGAGTTCAAGTGTATTGAATATATATAAAACATTCTATGAATGGCATACTTAAGCACTAAGTACAGTCAAGTAGTTAGCATGCTCTATGGTTTGTGTCCTGTTTCTTGTTTAAAAAAAAAAAAGCTCTCTGCTCTTTGAGTATGGATCAAATCCCACTTTTGGCAGTGGGTGGTGTTGATTAATTTTGGTATACTACTGCAAAATTATGAATGGCTAATGCAGATAGCCCTCATGTTGCTTTGAGTAAAACCCACCAAACATTTTGAAGATAATTTCATTAACTTTAATACGAAATCATTGGTATTTGTTCAATAATATCTTGAAAATATGGAGATAATACTTGAGCAGATCAAGCTTCATTTGTCATAGAGACAGAAAAATAATGGTTTTACAAATCTTTAAGATGTATCCTCGCTCTTATTTTACAGAATCATGAAATCACAAAAATATAAACTGGTTTACTGATCTAACGAAGGTCAGATGTAATATTGAAAGTGAGCAAGCTCTTTTTTTGCTTTGAAATACGTGTTCTTAAATTCTGTAACTGGTTTAGTAGTGTCTAATGTATGGATGATTATATTAAACCATCCGGAGATATGTTTAATGGAATGGTACCTAACTAAGTATAAAGCAGTCCTTTTCTTTTCAAAATCAGAAATCATGATTATTTTTCGCACGAGTTAATTTTATGACAAAGTTTATAGCGAATTATTTAAACTTTTCTCAGCTGCGTTATGAAAAGTAGCACATCCTTTGTCTGAAAAAAATTAAAATGCTTTCTAACAGTTAAGCGTCAAGTATATTGGTAGTTACATTATTTAGGTTGTTATATTCGTAAGTACAATGTGAAATAATTGCCTTAGCCTTACATAATGCACTGACTGCATAGTTGAAAATATGAAGTTTTTAGTGACACAGGACATTATAATAGAT